ACAGTGTGGGGAAAAAAAAAAGAGTAGAAGAGAGATTCCCTAATCCTACTCAAGATGTGCTCTGTAGGGACTGTGTGTGCTATATTTAGTGGCTCAGTCGTACCCAACTCTTTGCGACCCCCTGGACTGACCCCAGCCAGGCTCCTCTGTCCTTGGGGATTCTCCAGGCAAGAATACTGGCGTGGGTTTCCATGCCCTCCTCCAGGCAATCTTCCCAACCTAGGAATCGAACCCACCAACTTGCAGGTGGATTCTTTAGCATCTTAGCCACCAGTGAAGCCCAAGAATAATGGAGTGGACAGCCTATCCCTTCTCCAGGGGATACTCCCAACCCAGGAATCGAACCGGGGTCTCCTGCATTGCAGGCAGATTCTTCACCAGCTGAGCTACCAGGGAAGCCCTTGGTAGGGACTACACCAGGTTAGTGAAGACTGATCACTTCCCATGACCGACAAGAAGACATTTTAATAAGGACTGAAGCCCCTGTGCCAAGCACAGCACCTGACTTACAGTCAAGATGTGTCTGATACATTTATTTATCCAATAATCAGTTAACTGATTATTTATTAATTTCTAAGAGCTTTCATTGGTGAACTTAACAATATAAATTCCCTGTCTTTGTGGACTTTCCATCAAGGTCAGATGAGTGAAAAGACATGGACTCAAGCATCTGAGCACCCTGGGGAGGGGTATGAACCTCCAGACCACCCTGCATGGGAACTGTCATAGGGCCACAACTACTGAGCCTACACGCTCTGGCGTCCACGTGCTCTGGAGACCACTCATCACAGCTAGAGAAACTCCCGTGCTGCAACAAAGATCTAGTGTGGCTAAAAAAATACTGTCTCTGTCTAGCAATGAGAGGAGTTTCCTTTCATTAAAGTTTCCTTTTGTTAAAGTTTCATTTCTTACCTAGATAGGTCCCCAGTTCTCAAAGCCTGGGAACACATTATTGACAGGAACAGAACTGAGGCCTTTAAAGACAATATCTGTAAAGCGTTGAGCCTTCTCAGGTACCACAGTTTCTTTATGTGTGGGTTTTGCCACAACTCAGAGAGAGAGAGATGGAGCTGGTGAGGGGCACCAAGCCTGGAAGTGCTTGGCCTCTCATTGAGCTGAGACTTCTTTCCACTCTCTAACACTCCATTGCTTCTGAGAATGGCCATTCACACACTATGAGCAATGGTGTTTCAAAGCTAAACTCCGTGCTGTCAACAAGTACTAGGTTAAACTCTTTAATTACGAGTATTTTAGATTCGTATCTCTCTGCTTTCCAAGACAATTAGTCTTTGGAAACATTTTAAGGGTTACTGACGTGTATGGGTAATCATAGGGCTTCCCTCGTGGCTCAGTGGTAAAGAATTTGCCTGACAATGCAGGAGATGTGGGTTTGATCCCTGGGTCAGGAAGATGCCCTGGAGAAGGAAATGACAACCCATTCCTGTAATTTTTGCCTGGGATATCCCATGGACAGAGGAACCTGGTGGGCTACAGTCCATGGGGTCGCAAAAGAGTCAGATACAACTTAGCGACTAAACACCACCACAATAGGTAAACCTAGCATATAGATCAGTCTATATAAGGAAGGTGATACGTGACCCCAAGATGTTTCAAGAACAAAGAAAATATGCTAATACCTGCTGTTAGGAACAGGATAACTGGAGGTGAAGAGGTGGTGAAAGAGGGCTTTAGGAAGGTTAGCACCACAGGGTCTTCCTTGTTAAACTGGACAGATCTCCAACAGAGATGCAGTTACTTTACAAGGGTTGGAGTTTTTGTAAGGTGATGCTCAGGTCTGTCTAGGGCTTCCCAGGTGGCACTAGTGGTAAAGAACCCGCCTGCCAATGCACAAGACTAAGAGACACAAGTTTGATCCCTGGGTTGGGAAGATCCCCTGGAAGAGGGCATGGCAACCCACTCCAGTATTCTTGCCTGGAGAATCCCAAGGACAGAGGAGCCTGGAGGGCTATGGTCCTGTGGAGTTGCAAAGAGTCCGACGAGACTGAAGCAACTCAGTATGCAGTTTTCCCTCAGTTGCATATAATACTGTGAGTCCCTTCCTGGCCACACCCTTGCAACTGTGCTTGTTGACAGGAAGTCCCTGGTTGCTCTAGGGCAGTGGTTCTCAGCCTGGACTGTACATCACTGCCACCTAGGGGACTGATGGCTCAGTCTGGGCTGGGAGGGGACACTCTGGAGAGTGGGGACTTAGTTCTCTGACCAGCCATGTAACCCATTTCCTCTGCACCGAAAGATGGATTCTTAACCACCAGAGATGTCTCTCAAAAAGAAAATATTAACATTTTACAAGGACCTGGTGAATCATGTCATGTTGAATTTTTTCTATATTGTCTATGTATCATAAGAAACAAGCATAGTGCCTAGACCCTAACACGTTCTCGATAAATCTTCATTAGCTTAAAGGAAGGATAAACACTACCCACCAGGAAATGGAGACTTGGAGAGGCAAATGCAACCAGCCTTTGGTGGTCTTGTATGAATGCAGTAAAGATCTGCTTTCTCTGGACTTTCAATATGAATGTGCTAATAATAACGGGGACTTTCTAAATAGATGGGGAAGCAAAACTAGGATCAAACTCATTCTCAACTTAAAATGTGTGAATGGGAACAGTATCAAGCATGCCTACATGTTTGCATTTCTTTAAACCTTGCTCTCTCCTGTTCATTCCTTTCATCCATATTTTCCTATCAGTTCATTTCAGAGTGTTATTTTGCAAACTCACTTTTCTTGTCATCATATTAAAATCGGGAATAAGCAGGTAGCACATTCTGCTTTCTGTCAGTTAGACATCTAATCACACTTTTCTCATTGTCATGGAAACAACTTACCTTTGAATAGTCCAGGCTGGGAGTTTTTATTTTGAATAAACTTTTTGAACAGCTGATTGATAAGATACAACAGTGTATATTTTAATGCAAAACTGTTTTTAATGGGCAGTGACAGTTGCTCTAGAATATAAAAAAATATAAAATTTCTTGTCCTGCAAAGCAACTGCTGAGAGCAAATATACTTCCAAAATACCATTAGTTTTAAGGCTGCAGATAGTCTTTTGTAACTGTGAAAGCTACCTTTAAAACTTCCACTTTACCAACTTTCTGGGTTCATGCAAAGTCTCTTTTTCTGCTGAAAATATATTGACTGTTGCCACCGTATGCTGAATGCTTGAGGCCTGGAGACTAATCACTAGCTTGCTGAAACATTTCTGCTCAGATGAGTTGAGTCATTTTAAATAATCCTAAACCTGATTATGCTGATTATAGTGGCTGCTGCAAATGTATTGTGTAAATAATATGATGTTATTCCACAAACTACAAAAGAGGAAAGAACGAAGGGAAGGAGGCAAGGAGGGAGAGAGGAAATGGGAAATGTGGTCTATGAAAATCAAATTGAATGCTTTGTAGAGTCTTAATAATAAAAAGTAATCACTAAAATATATTGCTGTCAAATTAGTTGTGAGCAAGGTAATTGAGAGCAATTTCCATATAACATCGTAAGATATACTGAGATCTGAAAGGATTCTGCACCTAGATTGGTTAGCAAGGATCATTTCTTGTTCAATGTTCATGAAACCAACTGGAGCATAGACTTCAGCCTACATGTAGGGCTAAGGCAAGACTGCTAATACGGATCTACCATCGATGTAATCATAATTAGAGAAAAGTTCTTGGTCCTCATCAGGAAGCCCAGTGAATAAATTTACCTACTGGATTCAAATTAAAATGTGAAAAGTGTGTTTATGCACATTTATGTTCCCACCATTTTGCAAGATTTTCAACACTGATCCTCAAGGCAAAAAAAAAGAAAGAGGGAGTCTGCCTAGTGATCACATTGTTGTTTAGTCCCTCAGTCGAACTCTTTGTGACCCCATGGACTGCAGCATGCCAGGCTTCCTTGTCCTTCACCATTTCCTGGAGCTTGCTCAAATTCATGTCTATCAAGTCAGTGATGCCATTTGACCATCTCATCCTGTCATATGCTTCTCCTCCTATCTTCAATCGTTCCCAGCACGAGGGTCTCTTTCAATGAGTCGGCTCTCCGCATCAGGTGGCCAAAGTATTGCAGCTTCAGCTTCAGCTTCAGCTTCAGTCCTTCCAATGAATATTCAGGGTTGATTTCTTTTAAGATTTAAAATGCCCCTAACAAACTTGAGTTTCATTGGAAGAGCAGAAGAGTATAATTCATCCTATACCAAAAGTCATGAACCCCAAATTGATGCTAAGATTATGTCTCACTGATGGAAGAATGAAAAGGAGGGTGGAAAGAAAGATGAGGGGAATGGAAGAGAAAGAGAAACAGAGGATAATCATATTTGGATTTGATTTCTCCCAATTTTGTTTTCTATGAAACTGCTTCACTGAAGAGAAACAAAGGTGTTTATGAACAATATACCCTTGGGACAATTGTCTCAAAACAATATACCTTGAGATAACATGGGTTGTCTCAAAACAACTTAGTTAGATCTTTGAGACTGTCTCAAACATGGGTGGCTTTGGGGAAACAAAATTCCATGGAAGGGAGCTATAAGAATTCCATGAGTTTTCACAGAATGTACAGGTCTGTAGGGAGCTGAGACTAGAATTCCACCTCTGACTCCCAACTTTACATCACTTCCCTCTGCCCTTGTTTCTTTCCTAGCAGACACTGGCTATCCATGGAGCTAGAAAACTGAACAGCAGTCTCAGAATTCCTCCTCCTGGGACTCTCAGAAAAGCCAGAGCATCAGATCTTCCTCTTTGGGCTGTTCCTGCCCATGTACCTGGTCACCATCTTTGGAAACCTGCTCATCATCCTGGCCATCATCACAGACTCACACCTCCACACACCCATGTACTTCTTCCTCTGTAACCTGTCCCTCATTGACATCTTCTTCTCTTCCACCACCATCCCCAAGATGCTGGTGAACCTCTGGACACAGAGCAAAGCCATCCCCTTTGCAGGCTGTCTTGCCCAGATGTATGCCTTCCACCTGTTTGGGACCATGGACAGCTTCCTCCTGGCCGTGATGGCCATTGATCGGTTCATGGCCATTGTCCACCCTCTGCGCTACTTGACCATCATGAGTCCCCGTGTGTGTGGGCTGCTGGTAGTGGGGTCATGGCTGATCACCAACCTCCAGTCCATTGTCCACACCAGCCTCATGGCTCAGCTGACCTTCTGCGCTGGCTCTGAAATCCCCCACTTCTTCTGTGACCTCATGCCCCTGCTGAAGCTCTCCTGCTCAGACACACACACCAATGAGCTGGTGATCTTTGCTTTCGGCATCATCATGGGCATCAGCCCTCTCACATGCATCCTCCTCTCTCATATCTGCATATTCTGGGCGGTCTTCAGGATCCCTTCTGCTCAGGGCAAATGGAAAGCCTTCTCCACTTGTGGCTCACACCTCACTGTGGTGACTCTATTCTATGGCACCATCTTTGCCGTGTACCTGCAGCCAGCATCTCCCACCTCCTCGCAGAAGGACAAGGCGGCTGCCTTGATGTGTGGGGTGGTCATCCCCATGTTGAACCCCTTTATTTACAGCCTAGGGAACAAGGACATGAAGACAGCTCTGAGGAAACTGGTCTGAAAAGTAGTCGCATCTCAGTCTTAGGGCAGAATAGTTTTTTAGCATCTACCATGTTCCTGGTGGCTCAGAAGGTAAAGAATCTGACTGCAATGCAGGAGACCCAGGTTTGATCTCTGAATCTGAAAGATTCCCTGGAGAAAGGAGTGGCTACCCACTCTAGTATTCTTGCCTGGAGAATCCCATGGACAGAGGAGTCTTGTGGGCTACAGTCCATGGGGTCACAAAGAATCTGACACAACCAAGCCACTAACACTTTCACTATATTCCAGGACCACTGATCAGTGCCTGAGATACAGGAACACATCTCATCTCTGCTCTCAAGGCATTCAGAATCTGGTGGGGGATGAAGACATGTCAGTAAACTGTCACAGAGCAACATGGTGATTGTGTCATAAGAGATGATGAAGTGAGTGATACAGAACAGGAAAGACATGGGTTTTTCTCCATGATTTATGTTACCCCTCAAGGGCAGCATAGAGGAGACTTTGAAGTAGCCTTAAACTCTCTGAGGTATTGCGCTTACAGGATTGCTACATGGGTAATCCTTATTGAAGGAAAGATTAGCTACGTTCAATTTTAATACTGATAAAGACAATGTACATTAGAGAGATATATGGCCGTGTTTCCTAATGACTTGGGGGAGGAATCTGAGAGCATCTGTTGGGATTAGCTCACTAGGTGTTCATTCAGAAGTGACCAGTCTCTGTCCCAGAGGGGGCCTAGTGGTCCATAAAGTAGCCCCCTCAGTCCTCGGGCAGAATAGCTGTTCAGCACCTCCCAATGTTCTGTGACCATTTTTCAGTGCATGGGACACAGGAATATAACCATTGCTGCTCTCAAAACATTCAGAATCTGGAGGGAATAAAGATATGTCAATAAATCATCACAGGTCAACTTGGTAATGCATCATAAGAGAGAAATAAAGTGCATGGGAAGGGAAAGTGAAAGAAAGTGAAGTGAAAGTGTTAGTCACTCAGTCATGTCTGACTCTTTGCGACCCCACAGCCTGTCAGGCTCCTCAGTCCATGGGATTCTCCAGGCAAGAATACTGGAATGGGTTGCCATCCCCTTCACCAGGGGATCTCCCCAACCCAGGGATCAAACCCGGGTCTCATGCAATGCAGGCAGATTCTTCACCATCCTATTTTTGCCATGGTTTATCTTCTTCCATGAAGACCAGAGTAGCATAGAAGACTCTGAAGTAGCCTGAAATTCTCTGAGGTTTATAGGATTGCTATGTGGATAATCCTAGTGGGATGAAAGACCAGCTCCTCTCAGTTTAATATTGATAGAACAGTGTGTATTAGCCACGTGTATCATATCACTGTGCTTCGTAAGTGACTTGGGGGAGGACTCTGAGAGCATCTGTTGAGATGAGCTGACTTGCTGTCCAACTCAGCCACCACCATTCTCAGACTCACGGGGAACCTAGTGGCTTGACTTTGCACGAGGATCACAGTCTTAAACAGGCGTCTCATGTCCCCCAGATTGGGATATAGGAGGTGCTGGCCTTTGGATCCTAGGGATTGTGATTCAGCAACCCGATACTGGATCCTGGAATCTGGGTTCTTAACAGGCTGTCCAGGTGGTCCTGAAGCAGGCAGTCCACAGACCACAGTGGGAGCACACTAGCCCTGGACGAGCTTCAGAGTCCATATGTTTCCTGTGATTCCATCACCTGACTCCAAACCCTATATGATTCTATAGGTGCTGCCAGCAACAAGTGGATGCAGCGAGCTAGGATGCACAGAGAGGTCGGGTTAGGGGTTGAGTTGTGTCCTCCAAAGAGATATGTCACAGCCTAATGTCTCAGTCTAACCCCCAGCACCTCAGAAGGTGACCTGTCCTGAAAATAGGGCCTTTTCCAAGGTAACCAGTTCTAATGAGGTCATCAGGGTCCTAATCCACTGTGACTGGCACCCCTATAAAAAGAGAGAAATTGGACACAGACATGTACCAGGGAGAAGGCCACGTGAAGATGGAGATGATGCTTCTACCAGCCAAGGAATGCCAGAGATTTTAGGAAACCACCGGAAACTAAGAGAAGGGCATGGAACAGAATTTCCATCACCACCTCCAGAAGAAATAAACCCTGCTGACAACTTTGATGTTGGACTTCTGGCCTTCAGAACTGCTAGAGGATACACTTCAGTTGTTTAAGCCACATAGTATGTGATACTTTGCTATGAAGCCCCAGCAAACTAGTACCGTTAGTTTAGGAAGGGCTGGCATCGTGCAAAGACCATGCCCAGATATATCCTCTCAAGCGCTGACTACCCTGAGTTCTGGTTAAGGGAGTCTGTGCTACTATTGGAGAAAACCTGAAGGATTCAGATTGCATGAATTCAATTTCTTGGTCTCACTGTGATGACAATGAGGATACCAATAGCTGAGATTTAGTATGTGCCCTGCACGGGGATCATCCCTTTAAATACACTATCTCATTAAATTTTAAACAAAAAGCCTACAAGAGCGGTCCCCAACATTTTTGGCACCAGGGACCAGTTTCGTGGAAGACAATTTTTCTAGGGACCAGGGTGTTGGCAGGATGGTTTCAGGATGATTCAAGTCCACTACATTCATTGTGCACTTTACTTCTATTGTTACATCAGCTCCACCTCAGATCATCAGGCATTAGATCCTGGAGGCTGGGGACCCCTACCTTTATTACAAGGTAGGAAATGTAACTCCTTATTTTACAGATGAGGAAACTAGACTTGAAAAGTGCAGCTTTCTATTAAGCAGTAGTGAATGTTCAAACAGAGGACCCATTCTACAGCCCCCGGTCTCAACAACACACAATATTGCCTAGAATTTGGTGCCTAAAGCATGGATTTACCAACTGCAGTCAGTGGGCCAAATTCAGCCAACAGCCTGTTTTTGTGTGCCCTGTAAGCTAAGAATGGTTTTTACATTTTTAAATGGTTGAAATTTTTTTAAAAGAAGACTACTTCATGACACATTAAAATTATGTAAAATCCTAATTTTAGAGCCCATAAAGTTTTATGGGAACAGAATTGGACCATAAAGAAGGTTGAGGGCCGAAGAATTGATGCTTTTGAACTGTGGTGTTGGCGAAGACTCCTGAGAGCCCTTTGGACTGCAAGATCAAACCAGTCAATCTTAAAGGAAATCAACACTGAATATGCATTGGAAGGACTGATGCTGAAGTTGAAGCTCCAATACTTTGGCCTCCTGATGCGAAGAGCTGACTCATTGAAAGAGACCATGATACTGGGAAAGATTGAGGGCAGAAGGAGAAGGGGGCAACCGAGGATGAGATATTTGGATGGCATCACTGACTCAATGGACATGAGTTTGAGCAAATTCTGGGAGATAATGAAGGACAGGAAAGCCTGGCATGCTGCAGTCCATGGGGTGACAAAGAGTTGGACATGTCCTAGTGACTGAACAATAACAACAACAAGCAACACTCATTAATTCATCATCTATGACTGCTTTGGGGCTTCCCAGGTGTCACAGTGGTAAAGAATCTGCCTGCTAATGTAGGAGATGCAAGAGACACAGATTCAATCCCTGAGTCAGGAAGATCCCCTGGAAAAGGAAGTGGCAACCCACTTCAGTATTCTTGCCTGGAAAATTCCATGGCCAGAGGAGGCTGGTGGGCTACAATTTATGGGGTGGCAAAGAGTCTGACATGACTGAGCACACACACACACAACTCTTTTCAAGCTACAATGAATCCTGTGCAAAATCTAAAATGTTTACTATCTGGCCCTTTACAGGGGGATTTTCTGACTTCTTTTTAAATTAATTTTTATCAGAGTAGAGTTGCTTTACAATGTTTCATTAGTTTCTGCTGTATAGCAAAGTGAATCAGCTGTACATACACATTTTTCCCCTCTGTTTCAGATTTCCTTCCCATTTAACTGACCTCTCTTCTATAGAAAAAGGAAAGCCTGATACTCAGTGGTCCTTGAATCACAGTCATCATTATTATGGGAAGCTTGACAGAAATGAAGACTCAGACACCATGTCAGACCACTTAAGTCATCATTTTAACCAACCCAGGCGAGTTATATGAGCCTTAAAATTTGAGGATCACTAGAATAGATGGGGGTAGAGGACAGCTGCGGCGATCTGGGCCCTAAATATGTTTTCAGGGACATGAGAGATCCAAATCTGGGACATTTTTCCCATAGGCATTTTCCATTTTTCCCTGCCCTGGACAGGGTCGTGGAGAGGTTCTACCCAAAAGCTTTAAAGGCACTGCAGCTACAGTTTGAGGAAGTGGCCAGCAGGTGGCAATAGTGGAACGTCACAAAATGGATTAAAAACTGCTTTTGGGAAACACAGATCCTGGCTCCTCTGGGAGGGAACAGCATGTGCAACCTTCCCAGGGTGGGACAGAGCCTGGGTTGTTCAGAGAAATCATGGAGACCGGTGTGTCCTTAGACTGCAGTGAGGACAGAGGAAGTGGGCAGGGGGCTGTGGTCAGACCTCACCAGGGGGAATTGGACTCAGGATGAGGGGACCATCACGGGGTTAAGCAGGAATGCAGGAGGGCAGGGGCTTCAGAACAGACCTGTTGCTGAGTCCTGCCATGCGTTAGTGATGAGCAAGCTTTTTCTGTAAAGGGCCAAAGGGTAAATGAATATCAGCTTTATGGACCACAAGGCCTCTGTCACAATGACTCAGCTCTGATGCTAAAACGAGGAAGGCAATACCTCGAGAAAAGGGCGGGGCTGAGCACCCATGAAACTTTATTTATAGACACTGAAATTTGAATTTCTATCATTTTACATGTCACAAAATATAGTACTTTTTGAAGGTGTGGTACATATATGAAAGTATGAAAGTCAAATTTGCTCAATCTTGTCTGACTCTGCAACCCTATGGACAGTAGCCTTCCAGGCTCTTCTGTCCATGGAATTCTCCAGGCAAGAATGCTCGAGTGGTTTGCCATGCCCTTCTCCAGGGGATGATCCTCCTGACCCAGGGATTGAACCCATGTCTCTCACATTGCAGGCAGATTCTTT